CGGGATGGGGAGGGGGGAAATCGGGATGGTGAGGGGAAGGGGCGAGGCGACCGGTGGAGGATCGGGATGGGGAAGGGGGAATCGGGTCGGGGGTGAGCGACGTTGGGAAGGGAGGGAGGCGAGTGAAGAGGGGAGGAACTTCGTAGTTTACCTTCTTTTTTTTTTTTTTTTTTTTTGGCAGCGCACGCCACTGCACCACGTGGTGCGGACGCCAGATGGAGGGGAGTCTCACCCTCTCTGCCCTTTTCGCCGCGGGCCGAGCCGCGGCGGGTCCACTTGTTTACCTTATTTCTGTTCCTTTTATTTTTATTCTATTCTACTATTTTCAGAATTACAGGCTACTAATAAGCTGAATTCTAAGGGCTACCTGAGTGCCCCATTCTGAGCACGGAGATTGCGGTACGCAGCGATCCTATAAAGAGGAAGGCGGACTGACCTTTAGCCACTTGGAGTCTTGGGCATGAGTGATCTCGCTACGCCGAGTACTGGCGATCCAAGGAGGGAGGGCTAGTCGGCGCGGTGAATGCGGGAGATTGCCCATGTGTGCCATTCACATGCTCTGATTGTCCGGCCGCGACTATTCTGGAGTTAGTGACCTGGTACCGACTAGTCTATCCGAAAGGGCAGCTATGGTTCGAAGCAGCGGGCTGTATGGCTATAGACCAAAGTACCTCCAGTTTATCTGGAGGTGGGAGCGGATGTCTGGGGAAGGGCCTGCGGTGACTGCTATCCTGGACTATAGCCACCGCAATCAGGAGGCAAGGCTGAAGATCAACATTGAAGGAGGGAAGAAGAAGGGATGAGTGCTGACCAGAGACTGCAGTTGGCCATCAAAGAGGCCAAGAACCGTGCTGAAAGGAGATGCAGGAGGGACGGGGTCACCGACGAGATAAAGGCGACCATATTATATTTGGAGGCAGAGACCTCGACGGACACTGCAGAAAGGGAACAACGGCACCTGGACCGCGACACGGAAGCTGAGAGTCAGGAGAGTGATCGGGAGGTCGGGACCAAGTACTGGCATGGACTGGACCAGTGGCGGCGGGACCACCCACCCACCGAGCCTATGGAAAGTGGCCCAGAGGCCAACTCACAACGACGAAGGGACCGGAGCCGCTAGACTGAGGGATGCAGGTCAACTCGCGAGAATGGCTACGAGAGAGAAAGAGAGTACGCACTGAAGTCAGATGCGAAGAGAGAAGACGGGGATCACTTTCGTGACGTGTGGAACCCCCCCCCCCTTGCTATCGGGGCGTCGGCAGCTTGCCAAGTGCTTGCAGATTGCCTCTCGTCTCGTCCGAAGCTTGGACATGCACGCGTTCTTTGAGTGAGGGACCATCCGTATGAACGAGGGGACGGAGGGATCTTCCCTCGCGCTCCCTACGGTTCATGCGGATTAGTGTGATGGTTTGCTGGTCAATGCATACACAGAGAAAAGTCATGTGACCAGAGGCCGTCTCGTGACAACAGCGTGTCTGGGTCAACTAGGCAATTACAATCAAGGGGCGCACACACACACACACACACACACACACACACACACACACACACACACAAAGAGAGAGAGAGAGAGAGAGAGAGAGAGAGAGAGAGAGAGAG